ATTAGTTAAACTATCTAAATTAGTTAAGATATATTCAAAATATCATATAACATAGACTATAAAAATATTTAGAATATTATAAATTATCTAAATTACCGTAATATATATAAAAATATTAACATATTTAACTAATTTCGGATACCTTCGGATCCTACTTCGGATTTTGGTACGGTTCGGGTTATACCCAAAGTCCGAAGTACTAGGCTTACAAGTCCCGTTCGGTTAATTTTGTATAAGAGTTTGGATCCGGGTTCGGTTTTTCCGGTTCGGGTTTAGATCGGTACTTCGGGTTGGGGTAAAAACGCCCAGGCCTAGTCATGTTAGAGAAGATTTCTTACACACAAGATCCATAAATAAAAATAAATCTGTTCTAGTTTGTTACTTTTCTTTTAACCTTTACTAGGTAATAATCCGCGCCTTACGAGGAATGAAATTATTATTTTTGTTAATTTTAAGATAAAAATGATATTATATTTGTTTAGCATGGATATTGGTTTATTTTTACGTTGTTTTTTAATGTCTTAAAATATAACTATCATTCTAGTTTTATATTTATTTTGGTTTATTTGGTTTAAATATTTGATGTTTTTAATTTTTCCGATGATAACCAAAAACTATTGTTATTTGTTTGGTTTCGTTTTATATAAAATTTAGACATTTTTTATGTTGAACTAATAGTTTCCTATTATAATTTCTAAAGACATGTAAAATCAGATAAAATCTAATTAATATTTGAAGAAAAAAAGAAAATAAAATTATTATCACAAAACATTTCACTATATAGTCGCTCATGTCAATGTGTGCATGTATGTATATGTAAAAGTATATAAATGTGATGATAAATATATGAATATACCGTTAATTAAGATTTAAAACATTTTTGCTCAAAATAACACATGATAGTAAATTCTTAAATAAAATTAAGTAAAAATAAACAAACCTAAAAATTAATAATATTTTCATATGAAGAAAATCAAATTGTACCTATAACAATAAAAATAATATATATAACAAAGTGACATCTTCACTTGGTACATGAATTCTGTTTTTTAATCGATTTTGTGATTTTTGTTTCCTTTAAAGCTTTTTTTATTTCTGATTTTTTTCTACCAAATTTGTTTCTAATTCTTGGTCTGATATGAAAACTTTATAAAAATGTTAATATTTGACAAAACTAAAGATCCGACTTTACATGTGGTGTTTTTCACCTCAGTTTTTTAATTCATAATCAATTACCGTATTTGTTGTTATTGTGTACCGAAGCCTCAACCATGATTAATTTCGGCAAGGTACGAAACTTTCAATTTCTACAAACATTTTCATCGCAACATTTTAGTTGATGCGAATCTTAATGATTTTGAAATTTTTTTACAATAAAGATATTATTCATTAGTTTCACATAAAAAGTTTTAATTTATTAATACAAAGGCTAAAAATGTAGAAAAAATGAATTAATTAAAAATAGTATATAAATACATTAAATAATGAATTTTAAAAATTAGTGTGTAAACGCATTAATTGCTAAATGATTGTGAGGCCAACACATGTCAATTGTGGTTTGAAATCCCCTATATATTATTTGAGAATCATTTAAAAAGTTGTAACCTTAAGTTTGTAAGAATTAAAAATAACCCCAATCCTATGTGGCATAGCTCTTTGGCTTCTATTTCAAATTCTAAGGATTCTAGAGCATGTGATATAATGTATAGTCTAAAAATTATATTCTCTAGCAATATAATATTTTGTAGACTATATTTGGTCACATATATCAAATATTTATTATTTCGCATGCTTTCCTTAAATAAAACCTACGGAATTACCTAATGTGATTAAAATATATATGACAATTAATGATTTTAAACAATAAAGATTTGATAACAATCTGTATACTTTTTCTCATTTTGTTTATTTATTTATTATTAAAATAAATTACACAATTACATTAATCATATAATAAAAATCTAGATTTTTTTTGTGTATGTTGTATTTCGAATTTTTCAAAATGAGTATAAATTACTAAAACTGTTAAAAGTGTCACATAAACTTTTAGGATCAAGGTTTTAATTCTTTTCTATATTAAAATATAATGATTATAAGACCATATGAAGAAATAATTTTAGTTTTTATATATATTTCATATCGTTTTAATTAAACTATAAATCGTATGAAAATACATACTTATATTTTGATATTTGTCTTCAACATATATTGAAAACTTAATATTTTAATTTTGAAATATGTCATTTTTTAAAAAAAAATGATTATAAATTATTGAAACTACTAAACATCTCACATTAAAAAAAATCGTTGGTGTAAAGTTTTGTTACACAAATACACAAATAATCATAAAATCATATGAGTAGAAACCTCATTTAATAAATATCAATATTAAAAGTGTGCCATATTACTATGTTTATATCATTTAAATTTAATTATATATCATATACAATATATAAGATTGATTATTTTGATTTATTTACGCTAATTACTAATAAACAAGAGTGATAGTTAAATTTATATGCATATGTCAATTTATTAACTGATTTCTTAGTTATGTAATATATATATTTATTATTTTATGATATGCAGAAAATTATAAAATAAATTATAAATATAAAATACTTATTATGCATAAAGTGCAGATCTTAACCTAAGTATGTATCTTTTTAATTATTTTAAATCTTAAATATTTTCTAAATCCCAAGTCAAAAAGAATAAACGAAATGAGAATAAACTTCAGAATCAATATTTATATCGAGTAATAACCAAAATATAAAAAAAATACAACAAGAGAAAAAATTGAAGATAAATAGGATTAACACGTGAACGTAAACTTCTCATAACCATAATTAATTTTTCAATTGTTAAATCATGATATAAAACTGAGTTAATTTGTTAATTTGTTAATGTTTATTTTTTTAATTTTTTTTAAATCATTATGGTTATGTTAAATCATGACCATAATTAATTTTAAATTCTTTATTTATATTTGAAAAACTTAAAATATTGTTTTTAAAAATAATTTAAAATTTAATTTAATTTTTTATAAAATTATTTAAAAAATAATAATTTGTAAAAAAATATAGTTTTCTAATATTATTATACAAATAAATAAATTATATTAAATTAGTTTTGAAACTTATATATTTTAAATGCAATTAGTTTACCAACTGCTTCTTAAAAAAACATTAGGAAATTTGTTAATACTCTACCAATCAAACCCAATGACACTCTGTTTATTTTCCATCACTCAAACACTAAAAAGTGAAACGATATATGAAATCGGGTCCATAAAATTCTAAGATTTGATCTACAGTCCTAATTACAATTTTTTCTGATTCTACGTATAGATAATTATTTTAAAATATCAAAATTCTAAAATTTCAAATACATATAAAAACAATTATATGTAAATTTTGAGTTTATTAATACTAAAATTTTATATTTTAATTACGTATATTCACCCTGCGCAAGGCGCAGGTCTTATCCTAGTCATTTATTACAATGCTTCTCTTTTAATATATAAGAGATATGGGTTTTGCAATGTGGCCTTCGACTATATCGACAAAACTTCTAAATTGTTTTCTTACTGCCATATTCAACCTATTAATTTATTCTCGCAACCACTAATTTCTATCTCTAAAAACGCTTAGATCTACATAATGATCAAATTTTATATGCAAGAGTACTAAGAATCATATCTATATTAAAAAAAAAAAGTGCACAATTTTTTTGAAAATGACATCAAGTCAACATAACCCGTCTATTTATAGTAATTTGAAAAGGTATATTGATAAATTTTCAAGAGGTGTTTTTTGTTTTTAAATTAATTAAAATATTTCAAGAGTTCTATTCAACAGATGTGTTTTTTTTTAAAAAATTAATCAAAATAATTTCAAGAGTTGCAAAGGAAAATACCATTAGATAAAACCAGAACAAAAAATAAAAAATTAAAATACTAAAAAAATCAAATTTGTATATGAATGTATGGTATCAAATTCAGTTGCTTAAAAAACATAGGAACACGTCTGATCATATGACCAACAGTTGTGTCCTTTAACAAATATTGGCAATGCTTCAGATTTAATCGCTATGCTTCGAGTATCATTTAATAAATCAATAAAATAACATAATAGTATATATTTAACATTTAACTTAAGGTTCAAATTAATGTAACTTTGAGTACTTTCTAAAGATAGTTATCAAATTCAGTTACTTAAAATACAAAACAACACGTCCATAAAAACCAAAAGTTGTGTTTAGAAAATAAATGCAATGCTTCATTATTTGACTAAATTATCGAAGTATTATTTAAGGGATCAACAATTAACATTTTCATAGCCATTGTAAATTATTAAAATAAAATCTCGTAGACAATCTATATATAATTAAAATGCTGAATCTTTAAACTTATGAAAAGGTATGACATCATCAATTATATGAAAATGTTTTTTTTTTGGGTCCATTAGATAGTAAAATCAAGTTAACTATGACAATTGGATAGATTTTTTTTTTCCTATAAAAATGCTGATGTTCATTTTAAATTATTAAAATAAATATTTTCTAAAAAATCAATATTAATATTTAAACTTATGAAAAGGTATGTCAAATATGATGGTGGCTATTAAAAGAAAATATATGTCTCTTAGTTGTCAAATATTTGATGACATTATCAATCATATGAAAATGTCTTTTTTGATCCATTAGATTTTAAAATCAAGTTAATTATGACCATTGGATTGAATTTTTTTTTCTATAAAAATTTGTTTATGTCACTTTCGGTTTGCTATATATAGATTCGTTGAAACTTGTAAGCAGTTCTATCTTATACTGGTTTTCATGCGGATGTAGATGAGTTAATAGTTCAGAGTTGGTAAGAAGAAGAAACTAAACAGATCATAAAATTTCACTAAGCTATTTATGTGTAGAGCAAGAAACATTATGACAAAGATAACAACAAAATCAAAAGGAATGAAAATGGAGTGGTTAAGCAAATCAAATCAAGAAACTATATCCATTTCATTCTCTCCTTCTCTTGTTTTCTCTTTTCCATCTTCAACGTTATAATCATCCTTTGCTTCTTCTCCATTCTTCTTCTCTTCTACTTTGACATCTCTATCTTCTTCACCATTCTTCATCGCTATATCTTCTTCTTCACCCTTTGCCTCTTCATTTTCTTCTTTGTTTTCTCTTTTACTCTCTGCTTCCGATGAAACCTCCTCTACAGATGCATCATCTACTCTTCCTTGTGATCTCTCTTCCTTGTAAACCAAATCAGGATGCTTAAAGAACAAATACATATGAGAATCTTCTTTTACTCCTAAATCCATCAACTTCATTTCGTCTTCATCATCCTTAACCATTCTTCTAATCTCCTCTCCATCCCCGACCACAAGTATCAAACGCTTCACAGATAGTTTCACCTCCGTTGCAATCTTCTCCTTTAATTCCTTCACCGTCGCATTCTCATTCACCTCAGCATGTATAAATGTCCCCGTTATTATCTCCACACTTACCTTCATTGCTTCAACACTCTCTCCACCAAATCTTGTGGTTTTGTTCGTTAACACAATGATTCATTTCTTCTTTCTTCAGATTCTTTGTGTTTCACTTTTGAGATTTACTCTCGCTCTTTTTCTTTTCTTTTTCGGTTTTTGATTTCAAGATCTTGTTTTGTACGAGAAAACATGAACTAACCAAACACAACTCATGCATTTTCCGTTTCCATTTCAATATATAATATCGACTATATTGTTTAAATTTATGGTTATTAGTATCTTATCTTGTTTTTAAAATTTGTTGCGGATATCTTGCAAAAGAAGTTATTATATATTTTTTGACTGAGTATGATGCTTCGACAAATTTCTCACCTCGAGTTCAGGGAACTAAGTAACAAAGTCCTTATCAGATTTTACGACTTGAAATAAAGCTAAACAACATAACTACACACTTCCTACCAAAAAAAAAAAACATAACTACACACTAAGGAAAACAAGGCGATCAGCAATGAAAAAAATTAAGAAAACAATTAACAATAAGGCTAGACAATCAAAGAAACTATTATAAAGGCTAAAAAGGATTAGCAAATATGAGAAAAAAGCATCGGTTCATTGGCGAGGCAATTGATTAGAGAAAACTAAAAACCAAACTATGATGTAAGGCCACCACTACTTTTCTAAACCATACAACATAGAAACTCACTGTTGTGACAATCTGTGCAGAGCTCTCAATCTCTCTGTTTTAAAAGAGAGACTGCAACGAGTTTTTTAGCTGTTGGCTATGGTTTTCGATCGAGTTGTGATCTTCCCCAAGTCCAAACGGGAAATTTTTGGTAAGGTGAGAGTGTCTTTGAGAGTTCTTTTGAGTGATCCTTGAATCTTTTGGGCAGTGTTCTAAACCGTCTAGACAATTACAAGCCTTATCTTGACAAAGCCAAATGATTAGGACCTATTGCCTATTTCTAAGAGTTCACTTCTTTTATTGTTTAATGAATAAAAGAAAATAGGTCTAAGAAAATAGAGTTTGATTGAAGTTATGTTCTTGCTATTTGGTATGCTTTGTAAGTATATCACATTGATGGCTTTGAAGAATTTCATTTGCTGATGAGCTCCCACCTTCACTCCTCTTCCCTCATCTTGTTCTTGAAAGTTAATTGTGGGAAAGTAAATAACAAGTCAGGGGGAGTTGATAGCTTGTGTTTTTCATTGATTTGATCATCCATTTAGTGTGCATATTGATCATTTAGAGTAGCATTTATGCATTATTAGGTTACATTGTCATGCCACAAATCCCATCCAAGGTTCGTTGCAAGAGAGAGTACAATCCGAACCATATGAAGTTTAGCCACTTGAGCAAATTCATTAGTCTTTATTAGGTGTTGGAGTTATCGAATGGAGGTTTCGAAGGTGTTCGGAACCATTGTGGATCAATAGAAGTGAGGATTGAGCATTGGGCGATTTGATACAAGAAGAAAACAAGTGTCAAAACGGGTGTCTCATAGTCGGTAGGTACACCTGCTATAACCCAAACGTGATCTAGTGCGGTTACCATTGTGGCTTGGAACATCCACTGTGAACAGCGCGCACACCACCGTTCAAGTTCGATGAATCCTGAAATTGTCAGAGAGGTGAGTGTTGCGAGATGGAGTGGCTGCAGTATCTGAGGCGTGTCTCATTGCGGATAGACCTAGCGAGAAGACCAAACCGCTGCAACACTTGTGAACCTTCACCAGAAACCAACTACGAAGATGAACTAAGTGCTGGAGTGGGAAAATGCAGCGGGTATTCGAAACCGCTGTGAGACAACTGTGTCTTGCAGTGGGTTGATGTAGAGGGTTGGACAAGCCACTGCCACACTTAGACTTTATCAATCTATGTTTTATTATGGGTTGACCTAGATTTGTTGGGTTGACCCACTCGTTTTTAGAAGCCTATAAATACCCTTGTATTATTATCACCATAGAAGAGCTTCCAGATTGATTACTTCAACACGCTCATATATCAAGTTCTAATTTACCTTGAGTCCAGATTTAAACAATTCCAAAGGTAAGAAATAACTTATAGATTTTTGTTTGATTTCAAAAAACCTACAGATGCAAGTGAGGATACTTTAAGGGCATCATGTTTGAATCTTGAAGCTTCCTTGCTAATTGGTATACATTTAGACGTACAGTAGATATTCTATAAATGAATATTCGATAAATTAATAAATAATAAATTTCACTAGTCTTGAGTTGGACCAATGTAATATATGACACAATTCGATAATATAATAAGATAATAAAATTTTCAAAAAATTTATGTAAATATATGGTCCCATTGTAATAAATTAATAATCAGTGTAAATATTTATATAAATAATAATCTACATTGTATGTTTGCTTGTTATTCGTAGTGAATTTTATTTTTAATTTTTCTAAGCACTTCAAAATATTTTAATGTTATTTTATCATTTTATAATTAAAAATACATCTACATTTACGATTCTATACACCAAATAATTGAATAAGAATAACATAAAGTTTTACCTATAACAATTAATCAATGCACATAGCATAAATCAATTAATTGTTTTAAAAAAATTACGTAAAAAATACATTAAAATATATAATTCTAAAACAGAATCTTTTTGTAAATTTATAACTATATAAATTAATAAATTATCATAGTATCAATATTATTAATTTATAGCTTTATAGTTGGTGATGATTTCTTTATGAAACTAAAGATTCTTCGAGAAACAATATATGTGGAAGTTCCAAACCGTGCCAAAGTGCTTGTTTTTTCTTATAAAAAAAAATAGAGGATTGTTATCGAAACACGGAAATTGTTTATCAGATATTGTTGATCCTTTCGGTATCGTTCGCCACAGTTGGAAGAATTTTTTTCGAAGTTGAAACTAATGAAGAATTACTTGCGATCCACCATGTCACAAGAGTGGTTAAATCGGTTGAATATGTTATCAGTTGAGACAACTATGATATAAAGACTTAATCATATAATTTTAATAGATGATCTTGCAAAAAAAAAAATTCAAGAAGAGCTATATTTCAATAATAAGTGTCCTAAATAACTACTTTTGAAACAGTTTTTTTAGTTTTATTTTTCTGAAATTTTAAGTTTTCTCTATTGTTTATGAATGTACAAGGGCATGTTTTTAAATTTGGCTTGGAGCAGTATAAAACATTAGACCAGCACTGATCATCTTTTGGTGAAAGCTTGAATCTTTAATTTATTTCATCTTTTTCTTGGGTATATTGAGTTTATATTACTATATAAACATGATTAGTCTTGAATCATCCATGTGTTTAAGGTTGGATTAGTGAGTGGATTCCTTGTGAACTTATGGGGAAAGGTGATTAGGGTGATTGAGTGATGATATAGAGTGTCGTGTTACATCATATTGTTCTATGTTTATCTCTTGCTCTTAATGCAAGTTTAGGATGGATCTCCCTAAATCTAGACTCTAGACATTTCATGCATTGAATATGTTCGCTGAAATGTCTGAACCAAATTGATATTGCTCTTTGCTTGCTTACCAATGGGAATTGATGTTAGGGATGCTTAGAAAGTTATTAAAATTGTTCTTAATTGTTGCTTGATTGAATTACACCAAATGGATTTGATGTTTAATGATTGATTGTAAATGAATTATTGTCTTGGGAAAGAATGAGTCTATTACTTGTGTCCCGACTTGTAGAACGGAATTGATTGTTTAAGCACTTTAGATTTGATCTTAATCATCCAAGGTCAAAATCCTTGCCCATGGGTTCTCTCATCCTTTTTAACCGAAAGCTTGTGAGTTACTTGTCACTTTAGTTTGCATATTGTTGTTTGTTCCACTTAACTACTCTTTAATTACTTAGATTAAATATAATGATATGTATTCTTAGTGCTTGAAATCATCTTAGAATTGGATTGACTTTTAAGTACAACTTTGATACTTAGGATTAACTTTATTCCTTATCATTCCGTTAATGGTTTACTTCTAATGGGAGATGATAAGATTTTAAAGAAACAAAAAATCAGTGAGGTTGTGCCAGCTTCATTGAACTCAAAAGACATGTGCATTTTCTACACAACAACTATGTATGTCATGAGAAATCATCCTAGCACAAGTGAAGTTAGTAAAGAGACATATGCACATAAGTAGTTTTGTTGTTGAGACATTAAGTCATTAATTAGTAACTAAAACTGTACAAAAACGTCACCAACTTTTTTTTTCATATTCTGTTCTTTTCGAATATTTTGGATTTTCTCAAGGATTTAGATATTTTTCCATTCAAATTGATTTCCTGAATCATGATGATACCAATGGAAAAGCAAAAAAAAAAAAATTATCTCAAAAAAATTGCTAATATAACCAAAAATGATACAAAACTCATCTTCTTAGCAAACCTTATAACGTAGAGTAAGGAAACAGTTAGAAATGATGTACATCATATAAAAAAAATGAACTCATAAAAAAATCTAAAAAATATATAGTCATCTATTTGAAAGAACCACAAGACATGAAGTATGATGACACATCACAAATCTTGAGTTATCTATATATAAAGTAATGTTTTCTCTCACTTGAACATGCCACATCATCATCAAATAGTATCACCATAGTCTGTCACATATCTAATCTATATAAAAGTTGTTTTTTTTTTATTTCACAAATTTTATTATTTGTAGGATTATTAATTTATTATACTACATTTGGGCCGATATCCAAACAAAAGTCAGCCTGTTTATGCAAATCGCTTTTTCCTAACTTGCGTATCGTTTCTTCAAAGATCCAGATCCTATTCCGTCTACCAACAATGACCGTTCTGAAATGGTGTGTGACTCGAAACTTTGTGTGTAATCTTCGCATCGGAGTCAGTTCATGTCGTTTCAGTATTGATTCTTCACCTCATAATCACATTGATTCAACCTGATTAACCAAAACTTAATGTCCAGTACAACACGGTCTCACATTCAATTAATCACATCCATTTTCCAGGCAGTGATTCTCACCTATAAAAAGGAAATGCTTC